AGATAATGGTCCATTATCGCACTCAGGCTGTTGCTTCCCGCGCGCCTGCCACAACACGAGGACCGACCCGCCTCCCACAAGATCACAACAGGGCGCGCTACTGCGAGGCGTACCAGGATGGGGCCTGCCAGCGAGGCTCGCAACATTGGGACCAGCGCTGGGGTCAGGTTAAGCACGTGTGTTGCATATGCCTTCTCGTCAGGCAAGTAGTAAGCCGTTACCCTGGAAAAATCTGTTTTTTCCATGCAGCCATGTGTGAAAAATGACGAAAAAAGGACCCTTTACTTAAAGAAAGTGTACACTGATGCTGATAGGCCTTATTTACCCCTAAACAAATTGGGCACAGAAAAAGTCGATCAGCATGCATCAAGCACAAGAGTAAACAAATCCGACCCGCGGGTTAGCCCGTTAGGATGAGAGTGTCAAACTTCTACAAACACAGAAGGAAACTCCCGCCCGAAAAAAGCCTTCTTACTGATAGACAGACAACGTGACTTCAAGAAAATCAAGAGTGACCAGCAACTTCCATAACTATCTGAAAGACCCCACCAACTCGGGGCTTAAGTTAAAGTTAAGTTTAAAACTTTCATTAAAACAACAAAAGAGTACGTGCAGACTTCATACCTCTTTGAAATACTTTGAGCTATTGTATACATGTAAGCACGGAGACCGTTGATAAGGAATTACCCCACACGAAAGACTTAGGATCGTAGTTAATCACACTGCGACCCGACAAATGCCAGCAGATACATTCGTGGAAATGTTCCAATTGAGAACAGATTCAAGAACTAAAACAAAGTGTAAGGTTCAGCCAGTCGATTTCAGGCGAGGTGACAAGTTCGATGGAGCGGCTGGACGTGGTAACGCGGCCGGGGGCTGGCGTCTGTAAGGAGGCGTGGGTCGGCGAGGTGGTCTCGACGCTGGCGTTGTCGGAGTCGTCTCGTAAAATAGGTGTCAGAAACCCGGTTTCGGTAGGTGGCGGAGAGGCTAATTTCTGTCTCGTAAACGGTAGTCGTCTTTTGAAATGGTTGCTGAAATATCGTAGAATGGCTAACTTAATTGTATTAGCTCATTCCATCCACATCGTGAAGTTTTGTGGCTTATATTAGGTTCTAGGTTAGGGTTTTAGAGCTACGCTTTTTGACCCGGTTCGAATCCGAGCTTTTGCTTTTTTTCATGCTCTTTTTCATGTTCCGCCCTTACAATTGCAATTAGAATGTTGCTTTTTATAGTATATATACGTTTCTAAATGTTTTTGGACTTTAATAAAAGTTATGATACGCTCGGTTATGGCATCGACAAATCAGCGATAAGACATCGGAAGGCGACGACCGTTCTGAAAGGAAGATATTTGTGGTGGAGAGGGAGGGTGGTGGGATTTGGCGCCGGCGTTGTTGTTGTTGACCGTGTCTGGACGGAATTTGTTGCTATCTAGCCTCCTTCGCAGATTTGTGAGGCGTGGTTAGGTTGCGAAACCCTTTCTCCTCGACAAAGTCCCTTGGCGGCAAAACCATCCCTCCGCGGCATAACTCGCGTCGCTCCCCGAAAAAAATTAACGCCGCCGCCGCATACGTCTACTAGGTTCTTTCCTAAATGGCCCACCTTGTTCTGCTGCCAGGGGCGACACCATTTCCCAGTGGATATTAATAAAGATTACTTATTTTTTAATCGAACGGTGCACTTTGCTGAACAACCAGCCTGTTAGATCGAAAAACTTGTGGTCGCACATTTCAGGCAATGCTGGATACGCGTGTGGGAAGTTACCTGGTGAAATACAAGGTTCTGGGCAGCAAACATAGAACATAGATGACAGGAAAGAGTGGTCCAAACTGGAAACCGAAGTTCCTACATGCCCAACGGGTCTTGGGGTGGCGCCTATGAGGTTTGTAGCCAATCTGGACTCCTCAGTCAAAAGTATTTCTATGGCATTAGAAGTAAAGTACTAGTGTTGACTACACACACAGTGATTTTTTTCGCCTATACAGAATTAACTAGAAAGGTTAAAGCGTTAGTGGCGCAATGGTTAGAGTGTTGGATTTGGAACCAATAGGTCCCGGGTTCGATACTTATGATCATGCCCCGACGTTGTGCCCTTAGGAAAGACACTTTACACCACCTTCTTTTCCCAGACGGTGGAGTGACGCCCACCAAGGCTCTTTGGCCGGCTAATCTGTCTAAATTTTTGCCAAAAGCTCACTAAGGATTGGTGCAGAAATATGTCAACATCAGCACATTTACCATTAATTTACCACCGTATTTTACATGTACGGTACATGTGATTCACATTCTAGACCTCCAAAAAACTTTCTAAATACAAATCCTAAGAGATTTGCTAAACTATTGTTAATATCATTGTTTTTTTTACAAATTACAACCAAAATGTACTATGCAACATGACGGTCCACTTATCTCACCTTGCAGTCGGCTGGTCAAGATGAAGGCTCTGTCTCTGGAGTGTCCGTCGGTGGCGTGAACACGGTGTCTTGATCTGGAGCCACGAGCCGTCGTCTCCTCGCAATCTGCCGGCGTGGCTGAAGTCAGCCCTTTTTATAGCTTCGAAGTCAAGGCGCTACGTACACGTGTCCATCATGCCACCGGATGTATGACCACGTCTATCCTGTTTTCTTGGAAGAACTTGAAAGAAACCTGCCCAATCAATGGCTGTCACGCTGGTATGTAGACGTGCCGTATTCGCATGAAGTTGGCCTGCGCAGAAGTTTCAAACAACATGAATTTGCAATTTTGCGCAGAAAAGCAAAATCAATGGCAAGATTGCCCGGCATAAGTATAGCAGTTATCCAATACTACTAGTTGACAAGTTAGTGGAGTATCGTACACCAAAATGCTGACCGTTCACTTCAGCCTACGTGAGTAAAAAAAATAAAATAAAATAAAGGGTAGACTGTTGTGTTGACCCAACCTTTTGTTATCCAGAAATGATTGGTAATGTTTGTGGTTGGTGTATTTCAGGTTCTATATACAACGTACTTTAAGCAGTCGAGGTTTAGCCCATAAAAAAGTTGTTAAATGTGTGTTGCGGTCGACTCGACCTCGACTGCAGTTGTAGTCGAGCTATTAGGTTTTCAACTGAGACTGCACACTCTCAGTGTTCGTCTCTTCCAAGGAATAATTAGGAAGTCAGATAACTGTATATGCGATACGTTCGGCTACAAGACCAACTGGGTGTTGTTTCTTCAAACTCT